ATGAAACCAAGCATGTGCCTCACAAGGCCTAAGGGGAGCTGTCTTAGTGATCCCACTTTACAGGCCCAATCCCATACAGAACAAGAGTTCAAGGCGTTAAAGCCATCCTCACTCTATTCCCCAGAAAGTGCTATGGCTAAGTGCTAAGTGCTGTTGCGTGCAGGTGAGTTGAAACATTCTGCACCCTAGGAGCTACAAGGAAGCAAACGTCAATGCTTCAGTGGGGTCACAAGCCTGATGCTGCAATCACCAAGCAACAAAAGAAAGAAAATTCAGGCTCCTAGTTGCTTTCATGACTGCTCATCACGCCGTTAGATTATGTAGCACCTACAACACGAGCAGGCTGTTCTATTCTGTGCCATTACAGGACTTTTTGCCTCTTAACTACAAATTCCGATAAACGCACTGTCAATGCCATATTATTAATTATTAATATAATTATTAACCATAATTAATTCACCTCCATCTTCCTAATAATAGCAGTTATTTCCTTGCATTGCTGCTGTGCTCTCCATCCCAGTGGAACCTGGAGTAACTTTACAAGCCCTGCATCCACCACTGCAGCGCATCTCCCACCTGGGCGGCCAGCAGCAGCCCCACTCCACGGCAGATCAGCTGGAAGATGGGCCTTCAGGAAGCATTATCAGGAGCGAGGACTCGCAGTGGAATGGCTCTAGTGCCAAGGGGGCCTGACCTTGATCTAGAGGAGACTCGACCATCTTATACTTAGAATATACAATTAGTCACTGGCCCACCTACAGTACGAGTGCAACAGACATTTTCTTAGCACAGTCGGTGTTTAAGAAACAGCTTGACGGGGATTCCCACCTACTAAGTACTCAGCTCTCAGCTGGTGCGGTGAAGACCTGATAGCCCCACCACGACTGTAATTTTCAGCTTTGTGCACGAAAGAGCATGAAAAATGAAAATCACACCAAATACAGTTTGAAAAGCACTTTTCTCTCTTTTAAAGCTAGGGTTTTACACACGCGATGTGGCTGAACACTCAGTGAAGGGGGAGCTAAACAACAGAGAACATGACAGAAGATTTTGCCAAATCAAAGTCACCTTATGAAAAAGTATTACCTGAAAGAGTGCTGCAGACACCGGCACCGTCAAAGAAGTGAGATTCCCGGCACACTTCTGTACAAGAGACACACGGGCAGCAGCTTGCAGGAACACTTAGAAAATCTAACTTAATAAGACATGATGCATCTTACATCATGTTCAGATGATGTAATAACATGCTGCTAAATGAGTCACCTCACATTAGCTTCAAGACAATCACATAACGGATGGGCCATTACTGAGAGACCAGTGCAATAACACTAGTGACAATGCTGATAGATTATTTTTGCATTAAATTTTCTTATTGATCCTCAGCGAGAAGATACTGATGTGGACATCTTTATGAACAATATCCAAGGTAATCGAGCCGTAATGTGCAAAGCAGCAGCGCAGATCAGGGCTCTGAGGACAGCAGTGCACATTCTGCAGCTCGTTAAAAAGCCTCCTATAATCGCTGCACCTGAGAAGCTTTGCTAACTGTTAATTCCACAACCGTGTGACTTTTCTTAAACACTTGAACTGCAATTACAAGAGCTGTGATAATGACTTGGAGCCTTATATAATATTAATAACCCAGTATTCAAGCCAGCTTTCCTCTGGCATTCTCCCTGGAACGAAGCATCTTTCTTTTTGGTTTTCCTGTTTTGCTGGTGTGACTAGACCAACTGTCTCTCTGTTGACTCTTTCAGCAGTAGCAGAACTACATCATTTCCACTTCAACAAAAAGCCTTTTCCAGCATCACCTTTTTTCACGTGAAGCATTGCTCTTTGAAAGTGAAGTAAAGTTCTGAAGCCGCTGTGTATTTCAGCTTGATGAAAAATCCACTTAGCCAAAAAAAATCTGAACGCTAATAAAATTGAATTCAAAACAGGTTTCTTCAATTTCGATGAACTTAAATGTCCAAAACGTATGGAATCCTTTTCAAAAATTCAACACCATTTCTCAGCATGTTGCTAGCATGAAGAAAAAAGGCAGAAATTAAAAGAAGAGTTTAACTGATTCACAGGAACGTTCCACCAGACACAGCATTCCTCCTAAACTGATCTCATGACATCTCAGACGCTAAGCAGGACTTCCCCTGGTCAATATTCGAAGGGTAAACTGTTAAGAAAACGCAGGTTGCTGCTGGTTTGGTAGATCAGTAGGTGGCGCTATTCACAATCTTGTAACCAAGGGTAGTATGCTCTAGGAGATAGAGCACACTGCCCTTTAGATGAGACTTTAAACTGAAGTACTGACTTCTTGTGGGCATTAGAGATCCCCTACCACAGCTCATGAGCAGAAGAGTTCAAGCTGCTGCTCTGGCTAAACTCCACCCTTCTACAGCCTCCCTCAGGCTGCACCTTAATTCAGTAGGTGAAGCAATTTCTCATTCCACCACCTGCTCTGCTGTGTGTTGGGACTACTGGTGCACTTGGGGGCTGCACTTTGGCGGTGGATGAAATGGGTCTCCTCCCATACAAAAAGCACCGCGGGATCCTCCGGGATAATTAATAACAAAGGAATTCATTATTAATCATTTGGAAATCGGAGCACAGCACTACATTTCCACGCTCAAGCATCGATTTCACCGCAGCACCTGATGTCAGCGACAGGTGACAATGCTACAGGCACCACTGACTGTCCCCTCCACTGCTCTGCACGTCAGATCACATGTGCAACAATTAAGCATTTCATGAAAAAGCTATCATCTCACGTCAGACAGCCCTTCAAATGCAGAACGGAAAAGCTACTACACTAATCTTCTGCCTGACTAAATTCCACTAAAAGTAGTGCAGGGCTGAGACACCAGATGAGGGTTCTCCTGCAGTGTCTATTTTTATACCGTGTTTAAGAACATGTGGGATCCGCAAGGGGGAACTACATCTTACAACAGCATCAAGTGAAAAGCCCACTGATCATTCCTAACTGCTCCCAGCACGCTTCATAAACTGTTCCCCATATCCAGGTACTCAGAGCCTTGTTAGGCCGGGGACTGGAAAAAATATCTGAGATATCTTAGGCTTAAAACAAAACAGAGCTGACTAGAAAGTGCTGTAAATGTTACATTCCACTTTTAAGAAGATCCACACTGTTCACCCACGTGGCGAACTCTTCACTGACCGGGGGGAGACTGAAGGGGCGGGCGGGGGCTAGCATGCTGGGACAGAGCACCTATCCCGGGTCCAGCTGGAGGCAACTCCCTCTTCGCGACACGGTCCGAACGCGAAGGGAGCCCTTTTCTGTGACCGATCAGGTGGCCGCCCTCAGTTTGGGACGGGAGCGATCCTTTTGACATCACGGGGAAGATTTCGGAATTAATGAGCGGCGCAGACAATTGTTCCTTTGTTTGTAACATCTGTCGAGCTCAGAAGAGGAGGAGGAGGAGAAGGGAGGCAGGGGGGAGCTGTTCATGGTGACCCTCATTTAATGGTGTCTCTGTGGAGATGAGAGCTGTAACTAATATTACTGCGTGCAGCATGGAACTGTTTCTTCATCACCGTGAGGCCGGAGGGACTTCTATTACAACTCTTTTGCAGAGACGGTTTCTCATATTACAATTCTCCAATGGGCAGCCTGGATTCTAGTGTCCCTACCTCTCACCACTCAGCCCTTCTTATTAACATTACTTACAGTTTACAAACTCACTGGAACTTTCCCATGCAAAACAAACTCGAGAAAGATCTGAGTGGCAACAGCTAATTGGTTTACAATGACCACACTAACAAGAGTGCTGTTGTAGCAGTCCTCAAGTTCAAGCATTTAAGGTTGTCATTCCTTCCATTGGAAAAATGATCAATTAAGAATCTTAAAATGCGCATGGGAAAAAAAAAGCACAGCACAAAGAAACCATGGTTCCTTTTTCCCCCCCCTCAACAACGGAAGTAAAAGGTAAGTTTCATGCTGAAATTGGGAAGAAAATATTTTGGCTCTGGGGCCTTCCTCACGTAACTAGACACACCACAGTGGAAGCACTGTTTTTTCTGTTTTCTGTTCAGCTACCTGTTCCTTTGCAGTTCACCACTCAAACCTCTATTTTTTAACTGGAGTGGTGCAGGTGGTAGCAAATACAAAAGCAATCGTGTCACATACTTTGAAGTAATAATATGAAGGAGCGACACGGTGCCACAGTGGTGAGCATTGCTGCCTTGCCTGACTGGGGCTCGGGGGTTCAATTCCAGACCTGGGGTGCTGTCTGTGTGGAGTTTGTATGTTCTCCCTGTGTTAACGTGCGTTTCCCCCAGGTGATCAGTTTTCCTCCCACAATACAAAGACTGAAAATTGGCCCTGCAGTGAGTGTGGCCATGTCTGTGTGTTCCCTGCGATGGACTGGCCTCCCATCCAGCGTGTATCCTGCCATGAGCCTAATAATAATAACAATAATAATAACAATAATAATAATAATAATAATAACACTTTTCATCCCAAAGTGTTATACTTCTGCATTGCACCGCAGTAGCACAGGAGAACACAATCAATCATGCTTCATTCTCAAGACCTCTGGACCGGCTCTGCCAGTCGAAATGCTGGTGTGGAGAGCGGCTCCTGCCCCAGTGCTGGGTCATTTCAGTCCACGTAAGGTACATGGGCGCCCCAAGGTTCGGGGAACGGGAGCTGGCTCATGCAACAGGACACCCCAGGGGGTGCCACGCAGCCCAAGAAGCATGCAGTGCAGTTATACCCCCCACCCCCTATATACCCCCACAGTGTGCCTTGCCGAGTGAACACTGTGGCTGTGACAAGAGGAGAGAGAGCACACTGTCGTCTACTTCAAAGGGTGTCCAGGACCTGCCCCGAAACAACCGCTCCAAAAGCGAACGAAACATGAGGAACGCATCGTGCAAAAGAAGCTCCAAAATGACAAGCAACAGGATTTACATTCCTTGTCTGCTGGCAGCTTGAGCTTCCCAAATAGTCTTAGAATCAGAAATGGTAATAAGGTGCTACTCACCTGGCATCCTGACACACCTGGTTCTCGGCCATACACTGAAAATGGACCTCTTTCAGAAGATTTACCTGAAAGTCACAGCACATAAAACAAAATGCTTAGATGACATTCAAGAATTCAAATATACTAAAGTAAAATCAGTAACAGCTTTGGAAAAGATCATTCTCTCTATATAATTAAATACCACATTTACGCATTAATGTGATATTTATGATAATGTAGCAGGTATATAGAGAAAGCTTCAAAGGTATTTTAACCAATTAATATAATTCTGGTTGTAACTAATATATAATCCAATAAGCAGTGTGATCTGTAAGTGTGATTTCTTCTTAGTACTTAACACTACTCCACAGTTGAAGATGGACTCTGGGCTGTAATACAGTATGGGCAGCTGAACTCGCTCTTGGCACGATGAGCAGAGGACGGCCACATGACTTCAAGAGACAATCTAACCCTAGTCCTTTATTTGGTCACAATTTTATGATCACACCAAACAGCGATATAGCCTCATTAAAAAAGTATAATAATGCACTGCAGAACAGCTCCATTGCTTCACATCATTATGGAGATCCTTCAAGGATGCTCATCACCGAAATATTGATTACAATAAAAGATTCTCCTAAAGGGCTCCTTGCAAAATGCTTACATCAATGTCATGCATGCGAGTGGATTCTGCTGAAGCAATGTGCCATGAAACAGCCATCAGGCGAAAAACAAACAAAACACAGAGTACGCAAAATCATCTGAACCAAGATGAATCATGCTGCTCGCGTTATCTAAACTCAGCATTTTTCCCCTCTTGAAAATATGAATTGTACATGAAATGATAAACAGCTCTGACTAAATCATACATTATTCTTGGCAGATTTTCAAAAATTACAGGAGCAAATGTAGCACTGAAACTAAATTGTTTACTCTTGGGAAAGGTAAATATTTTAGCAAGTATAACTGCAGCAGGGATATATATTTTTTTAACTATCTGATCTTATCATTTGTCATGCAATAGAAAGGGAATGGCATGAATGGTCTGGACCTACGCATATATATATACTGTATATACTGTAGCATGTGCACCGAGAGGCACATTTCAGCTCTGAGCCTGCTATTAGTACAAGGAAGCTGAACATGCTGGTACAGTTGCATGTATCATGCAATCGGCTACAAAAAATAAACCTTCAAAGGACAACTAAAACTACCCAGAATGAGCGAAGAAATCAGGAAAGGTGGTTTAACTGACAATTTTGTTTCCTTTCTGGGTTAACAGAACTCTAAACATGATCTAACATATCTGGGTTACCTTTCCTACGAAACGAATGCACATTTGGTTGAGGGTTTAACAACTACACAGTTCCTGCCACCACAATGAGATAATGCATCTGTTTGATAAGGCTGATAGTCGTGTAAAAAAAAAAAAAAGGCAGGGTGAGAGGAGCAAAAATAAAACCTCTTCCCCACACCGCAGTGCTTCATTTATCACCACTGAACACATAAATTCCATTCATTATGAATTAGAGGTCAATGAGAAAAAGCCACTAGGCAGGCAGAGCATTAATTGCGTATGAGACGTTCACACTTCCTCTTTGTAAATAACCTGTGGTACAAGCTGTTGTGTGTGAACTGCCGGGACTGTACACTGACTTGGAGCCACACGCTCAAGGTAGCCTCCGAGAAGCCCTTAGCCTCCTGAGCATTACCGAGCTAAACGAAGCATTATAATGTGTTGAGGGACTTACTATAATCTGCAATGCAACTGAAACTGAGGGGAAAACATCCCCCAGGATTTAAACTGTAAACAGGCGTTTAACTGTTTTAGAGCAGTTACATGCATGAGCAGACAGTGCTAAGAATACAGCTCCAGTAAACAAAGATGTTCCGATTCGCAAGTCACAAGTCGCCGTGCTCTCTGTCATCACAGTGTTTACATCATAGATCTCTACTTAAAAAAAGAGGGAGCTGGAGAGGCTCAATGTCTTTTAATTAGAATAAACAACAACCTTATTCTGACAAATCTCACTCAAGAGTTAAGAAAGTTGATCTGGAGGAAACTTATACTGTACTCCATAGCCCAAGCAAACTCCTGTTTTCTTTGAACAGTTGTTTAAAAAATGTAAACATAAAGAAATTTATGTTTACATTAAATGGATAATGTTCATGGTCAACTAGACAGAAGGGGGAAATAGACGGTGTTTAGTTTATTAATATTTTATAATGAAGGCAACTAATTTCAGTACATTCTTGTGAATTCTTCTAAATTCAATACATTCACTGTACTATGTGAGCAATTCTACTTTACCATCAACATTGTGATTTCTAAAAATGTACCATCAATAGCACAAGCTTTTCAGCCTCTGAGAAATATCATCAATGACATTGAGCACATTTTAGTCAGCAGTGTCTTAGAATAGTAAAGCAATCAAATATAATTGCTGTTTCACTTCAGATATAGTTAAACAAAAGGACAGGAAGGTCAGTTGAATAAAAACAGTATTTAGAGAACCTAAACAGCATTCTTTCTGTTCTCTCCCATTTTGGATTAATCCTATAGGTGTTTGTCCCTTATGGGAAACTTACTTTCCTGATCCCTGCGGAAAATGCTTTCAGTTATGTGGAGCGACAGCATTAGGGACATTTTATGTGTAAAGATGTTTCCAGGATCTCCACCAAAAAACGCCCATGGCAATTGAAAAATATGAAATTACGGTAAAGTCAAAAAGAAAGGAAGGAAAAAAGCTAAGATATGTGGAAGTGTGTGTGTGGGGGGGGGGGGGTGGATTCCTCACTGTGGAAGATCCGCATCAATGAAAAAAACCACTAGGGAAGTTAATCGACAATGTAAGACGGTCCTGCCATTCCTGCTGCAGTGTGCTGAAGCGTTACTGGCGCGGGAGTGTGCCAGGCGTGCTGCGGGCGGCGCGGAGGATGGCAAAGGGGGCCCGTGCCAGCCAGCGCAGCTGTGCGGCCCCTGCGCCCTCCTCCTGCCCCGCGTGCCAAGCGGCCGCGGCCCGGGCTGGAGATAAACCCCCGGGATCCCGCGCGGAGGTCGGTGACGGACGGCCGCGGCCCCTCCGACCCCGCCGTGTTATCTCGCCGCATTCTCCATCTTCGCCCCGCGCCGTGTTCAGGAGTGACAGGCATTCAGAGCAGCGAACCGCTCTGCAATCAATAACCACCCCCCCAACCTCTCCACAAGCCACCAGTAGGCTCCTGCTCTTGATAATAGAGAGCATCAGACATCATGGGGCAAACGGTGACAACAGTGATTCATATCGCAAAATAACCATATTAAAAAAGAGAGGGAGAAATAGGTGCAGGATGCCAGTCAAACATCTGCACAGCCACCATCTCGCAGTACGGTCGTCTGTATTTAGTCCTGTGCTCAGTGCACAGGGTGGTATGCTTCAGAACTCCAGCATATTTTGATTACGTAACGCATGAGTGAAATTAGCTACTTCCTCCGTTCTGCAGCAAACAAAAGTAGTCAGTGCCCAAGCCGAGTCTCAGGTCTAAGAATTAATATTCTATTCACAAAACACAACAGTACAGATGCTTGATTTTTTTTCCCCAGAGAAAGCTGGCAAGTCTCAGCGGAAATGCATGTAAATACTACAATGTTTGGAAGGTGCTGCTCTTGTCTGCTAGGATTTAAAATAAAACAAAACCACAATTCCACAGTCAACCACCTTTTCAGTATTTGGGCAGACGTTTCTGTTTTTCTCGACAAAACATTTTCTTGGAACAAAAATAAAACAGTAACGATTATAACACTAAACATATCTGTAAAGGTGTTAGAAGACTGCAGCACAAAACCAAATCCAGCCCTTTGCACAATGTACAATTATAGAAAATGGAGATGTTTTTAAAGGCTGGGGTTATCTGAATAAAAGCTCTTGTTTTTTGCTGACTTCTCAGCATAATAACTAACTTGATCCTTGAATGGCCAAAGAAACCTTGGTTCCACCTACATTAAACAGAAATTAATTAAATTTTCAGCACTCTTTCTCCTTGAATTGCGCACTGATGCCTTCTTCAAAAGGGCAGCAGAGTGAGAATAGAGTATAGTATTAAGCTGTCACATCTCAAAGTTACTTTGTAATTAACCCATCAGCTAAAACCTTTTAACTTTGGGCTAATGCAACCATGGATTAGTGAACATTAAATGTGTGAGTTTAAAAAAAAAAATCAAGGTAAGTTATTTTATTAACATCTACGAATTCCATACAAAATAGCACACAAAACTAAGAAATTCTTTCCACCCATGTTCTACCCTAGTGAAGCAAGGTGGAAACCATCAGGTCTCCAAGTACAGAAATCAAACTAACTTTCTGAGATTTTTCAGGTGTTACCAGCTGCAGGTACCAGCTGATGACTAGTTGTTAATTCCATCACAAAACAATGAGTAAGCCTGCACTTCAGCCTCTTGGTCACCTCTTGTCCAAGGATTCTGCAGCTCGTTAGAGCCAAAACAGATCATTTGGATCATCATCTCTGCTATTGCTCGCACACATTCCACAGAGGGCTACGTGCAGAGAGCGAAATGAAAATCTTCAAGGGGAACCGCAATCCCTATTGATCAGATCAATTTAGGAATCTCGGTCGCAAAATAAACGAATTGACAGCAAAGGAATGTTTTTACAAATTTCAAACCAAGCACAAATCCGCAAAACTTGTTAAAGCGCTCCAAGTCGCCACGTTGTCACAAACCCCTGGTCTGGCCACGGGCGAGGCTGGGAGTGCCCCGGAACTGTGACATGATGAGGCCCTTCCTGCTCACTAGTCACTGGGATGACTAATGAGATGTGAGACGCAAACGAATAAGTACAGGTTGGGCAGCAGACGTTTCACTGCAGAAATGTCCCAACGTGATCTGCGTGCAGAGCTAACAAGTAAGCAGGATTTGTCCGCAAAACCGTCTGGAGGGCAAGAGCAATATTTCTACTGGATTAAAATAGATGTATTCACAAGCCTGCTTGTTTACAATGTAACAGGGCTGCTTTACATCACTGGAAGTTCGGTTGCCTCGTTCCGAATCGCAGAATACAGTGCTGCGCATACTTGGAAACTTAATCTA